GTTTCCAGCCAAACAAAGTACAGGCATGTGAGTTAAACATTTACCTCAAGTAGACACACGCCCTGGAGAGAACAATCATGGGAGAAGGAAGGGCTGCTTATGCACAGGGAGATAGCTCAGGGTGCAGAAGAGTATGAAGGGATGGACACTGGGAGGAGGTAACTATGGGGAGGAAGTGGGAGGGGAGCTGCTGCATTGTAAATTTTGGTCAATGACATGAGACAAAGTATATGTGAACTGCTGTATGAAAAGTGAATTTACTCTGTAAATCTTCACCCAAATCCTAATAAAAAAAAAAAAAAAAGAAGACGGAATCAATGATTATAATGAAATGTGCAAAGACCTGGAGTTAGAAAACCAAAAGGGAAGAACACGCTCGGCATTTCTCAAGCTCAAAGAACCGAAGAAAAAATTTAAGTCTTGAGTTGCAATATAGAAAGATTCTATGGGGAATATATCGAATGATGCAGGGAACATCAAAAGAAGATGGAACAATACACAGGGTCACTGCTCCACAAAGAATTGGTTGATGTTCATCCATTTTAGGAGGTGGCATAGGATTAAGAACCAATCGTATTAAAGGAAGAAATTGAAGCTGCATTGAAGGAAGTGGTGAAAAACAAGGCTCCAGGAATTGATGGGATAGCCATTGAGATGTTTCAGCAAATGGATGCCGTGCTGGAAGCACTTACTCGGATATGCCAGGAGATATGGAAGATAGCTACCTGGCCAACTGGCTGGAAAAGATCCATGTATGTACCCATTCCAAAGAAAGGTGATTCCACAGAATGTGGAAATTATCAAACAATATCATTAATATCACATGCAAGTAAAATCTCACTGAAGATAATTCAAAAATGGTTGCAGCAGTATATTGACAGAGAACTTCCAGAAATGCAAGCTGGATTCAGAAGAGGACGTGAAGTGAGGGTTATCATTGCTGATGTCAGATGGATCTTGGCTCAAAGCAAAAAAATACCAGAAAGATGTTTTACTTGTGTTTTGACTATGCAAAAGCATTTGATTGTGACAAACTGATCATGACAAATTGTGGGTAACACTGAGAATGGGAATTCCAGAACACTTAATTGTACTCACAAGGAACCTGTACACAGACCAGGAGGCTGTTGTTTGAACAAAACAAGGGGATACTGCATGTTTTAAAATCAGGAAAGGAGTGCATCAGGGTTGTATCCTTTCACCATACTTCTTCAGTCTGTACGCTGAGCAAATAATCCAGGAAGCTGGACTATATGAAGAAGAATGTGGCATTAGGATTGGAAGAAGAATCATTAACAACTTGAGATATGCTGACAGCACAACTTTGCTTGCTGAAGGTTAGGATGATTTGAAGCACTTACTGATGAAGACTGAAGACTACAGTCTGCAGTATGGATTACACCTCAGTATAAAGAAAACAAGAATCCTCACAACTGGACCATAAGTAGCATCATGATAAATGGAGAAAAGATCGAAGTTGTCAAAGACTTCACACTGCTTGGTTCTACAATCAATGCCAATGGAAACAGCAGTCAAGACATCAGACGACATATAGCACTGGGCAAATCTGCTGCAGAAGACCTCTTTCAAATGCTGAAGAGAAAAGATGTCTGCTTGAGGACTAAGGTGTGCCTGACACAAGCCATGGTATTTTCAATTGCCTCATATGTACGTGAGAGCTGGACAATAAATAAGGAAGACTGAAGAAGAGTTGACGCTTTTGAGTTGTGGTGCTGGCAAAGAATGCTGAAAGTACCATTAACTGCTAAAAGAACTAACACATCTGTCCTGGAAGAAGTGCAGCCGGAATGCTCCTTAGAAGCAGGGCCAGACTTCATCTCACCTCTTTTGTCATGTTGTAAGAAGACACTATGCTCTGGAGAAGAAAATCATGGTTGGTAAAGTGGAAGGTCAAGAGGGGAAGGCCAATCAAGATGGATTGACCCAGTGGCTACAATGATGGGCTCAGGTATAGCTGGGATTGTGGAATTGGCACAGGACCAGGCGCTGTTTTGTTATGCTGTACACAGGGTCGCTATGAGTTGGAGACGACTCAACGGCACCTAACAACAACAACAACAAGAGAAAACACTGTGAAAGACAGTATTTGAAAAATGGAAGGCATGTGGGATTCTTGGTATCTGAATCCTCTGTCAACTCACTCTAGAACCAGGCAATTTCTGAAGGGTTTGTCACATCAGGTAGAGTTGGTTTTTTCTTATTGTCAGCAGCAAGCATCCTTACTGATCTCTTCACAAGTAGTTAGAGAGGAATATTGATATGTTGCTGAGGAGTATTTTTATATACGGTATGCAATTCTGGTCAGAATGCTGTGTTAGAAGCCACCAGTGATTCTATCTCTCACCATCAACTCTTTTTAACTTTTATAGTGCTCAAAACATACATAAGACTTTTGTCAACAACTTCCATATTTACAGTTTAGGGACACCGATTACACTTCTCATGTTGTGCCACCATCATTGCTATACTTTTCCAAAATATCCCACCACTTTTTAGCATAAACTCAATGCTCCCCAAACAAAAGCTTCCCCTTCCTCCCCGCTACCCTTGGTTGTTGTTGTTATATGCCGTTGAGTTGGACCCAACTCACAGCGACCCTTCCTTGGGTTTCCGAGGCAGTATCACTATGGAAGTAGATTGCCCAACCTTCCTTCCGAGGAGTGGCCACTAATAATCTTTTCACCATCAGCACTTAATTCAAACCGCCAGTATTATGAATCCCAGTCTTAGTCGCATAGGGATTATAGGAGACTACTGATTTATTTTTCATTGACAGTAAATTATACAGTATTGCTGCCCAGTCATGGAAAACAAGAACAAGAAATTTTATTTCCTGTGCTCTGCTTCAGCCAAACATTAACCACTTCTCAGGTAGGTTAATTTGGAAACAGTGTCCTAAATCCCTAGCATGGCCTGGGAATATAACAGATACCTCCCCACCCCACCCACCACCCACCCCCAATGCAAAAGATATATCAGTAGATTCAAGGAATAAGCAAGAGCTGTATTTTGGAAAGGTGCTGGGTGGCACAAATGGTTTACACTTGTTTACTCACCTAAAGTCAGCAGTTCAAACTCATCCAGCAGCACTGCAGAAGACAGACCTGACAATCTACCCATACAGATTACAGCCAAGGAATCCCTAAGGAGCAGCTATTCTACTCTGCAACACATGGGGTCACCAGGAGTTGAAACCAACTCAACAACAATGGGTTTAGTTTTTAGTATTTTGGCTAGTTTTACTTAGCAAGTGGAGAAGGCTTCTTTCCCTAGAAATAAGGTTTAAACAACTAAATTTATGAATCTAATAACTCTCCCCATTTGATAATTCTGCTACTCAATATGTGAAATTAGTCTCCACTATTCATATTTGGCCCTGCTTTCCTGCTATACTTTATTTACTACCATCCTTAAGTCCTTATTTATTTTCCTCTCCTCACTCTTCCTACCCATAGGAATTATCTGTTTTATTGGTTATACACAATTACAGTTACTCCTGGTTTAAAACGAGTCTGGAAGCCTTCTCAAATCCTTGCAGTTCTCTGAGAGGGAAGCCCCCCCCCCTTTTTTTCCTTAAGAAAGAATGTGCTGGACAGAAATTTACTTACAAATTAAGCAGTCATTTAAAATTATATTTTATTTATATCTGTAGGCATTACTCTTTGTTTGAACTGCTCATATAAATCCATTCTATCCAAAAAGGAAACAGTGTTTCTAGCAGTACAAGCCCAACTGGCGTGGCCTACCGAAAGAGGCTCCATTAGCATAGGCAGATAATCTAAACATATTTAAACCATATACTGGATGTTTTTATTCTTAGGACCACACAAGCCTTTTGCAAAATCACTTTGATTTTTAAAACCAGTCGAACATCAGTCATGGCAGGGAGATCCACGGAGCTGATTTCTGATAACAAGTTAGGTCATCACTGAATGTAATTTATAATGCATGATTAATGGCAACAAGGAGACTGGGGTGGAAACTACTCACGAGTAACAGAAGCACCACTTCTATAGAGTAACCAGGGTATCCCCAGAGCAGTCAGTGCTGACAGACTTCCTCCACTGCTTCTTCCCTCACTGTGGTACTCAGACCTGAGGGCTCAGAGGATAGCGCTCAAACTCAACAAAGGTTTTTACGGAAGACTCGTGAAGGGGGTGTTGTGAGGTACCAAGTTTTGGGATACATGTAAATACTAAAAATGATGATGAGATCTTGAGTATTTGAATCTATTTACGCTGCTTCAGTTCATTAGTTATTTTCCGTGTCTAGCTTTCATGCTTTCTCATAGGACAGCTGTGAGGATTAAGTGAGATAAAGCGTGTGACACAGCCTAGTGTAGTGTCTGGGTATCTAGTAAAGATTATTTGCAAATCCCATCCCACCCTGCCACCTAAAATGAAGCCAGTCCTTAATTTTTGGGAATATTTTACAATGAAAATAAATAGGTTTTCTACCAGTATCCCTGTCAGCACAATTCTGGACTGCTCCCAATAGTGTCTGCTCTTTTGTAAAATAAACACTTCACACTGTTTGAAGTACACATAGTTTCCTTTTTGTTCAGTATTCCTTAGTTTCCATTGTGAAGAGTTATTTCCGAAGAATTGAAACCCCAGAAGATAACACAGCAAAAAAATGTTAACTGGCTTTTTTGAAAATGACAATTCAAAGGCAGGCTTGAAGAGAAGTCATATTTAGGAATAAAAGAAGGTGAATGCAGCCTGTGAAGGGAACTGGGCTAATTATTACCTAAAAAAGAAAAGTTACACAACTATACTCAAGGACATAAGTTAAAGCAATACTTTAAAGCCAAAATAGCTGAACAATTAGGTGAAAAACACAGCAGAAAATAGGTAAGAGAAATGAACTTAAGGAAATATAAAATGGGACAATGAAGCTTTTGTTATCTGAGTATCTTGAATCATATTGTTTCCTCCCTGCTCCCACAACGTCTTCACTGAAATCTCAAAGTAGTATTCTCAAGAACTAATAGTTATCATTTGGTTAGGATTCAAAATTTCAATCCAGTAGCCATCAGGATCTTGAATAAATGCCAGGCCTTTCATTTTACCTGTAAAACGAAATGATTCATTATTTAAAAGATTAAGGAAAAAAGAAAAAAAAAAACCTTAAAATACATTCTTCATTAATTCTAATTTTAATTTGCATTTTAATGATTATTTTGTCTATAGTTTTAATTAAAAAAAAAAATCCGTTATTGGTGTTGCCAAAATATATGCTTTTCAGACTGCCTAAAATTTACCTTCCACTCATCGCTAGAAATAAACCTTCTTGAAAGTAAACTGTGGCACTGGTTGTATTGTTAAGATATCAGGTATTTACCTCACCTTCATGACATAATTTCATGCTACAATTTTAGTAGTCATAGACACTGTCTTATTTTAAAGAGGAAAAGAGAGAACAGGGAGGTGCTTGTGGGTACAGGGGTAACATGGCTTATCAATACAGCTAAAACACCCAGATTCTTGGGTCATATAAACCCTATAAACCCTATACCATGAAAACCCCATCTCTGTCAATGAGATTCGTTCTCTCAGGAACACTTTAACAGGGATTGAGAAAATGTGACCTCAGAAATTTGTTTTGGGATTAAGATGCTGAATTAGTTTGACTTCTAACCTGGATCCTTTCCCCATGATGAAACCCTGTGGAGCACAGATGGAAGATGGGAGTGGGAGGAATGAGAAACTTCCAGAGTGATGGTAGGCTACGAGAGGAGTAGGTAGAGAGGCAGGGTAAATGTTTTACACTAGTCTGTGTGGCAGTAGGGGCCTGGACCAAACAAACCCTCATGGCTGTGAGAGAATAAATAAAAGGCCCCCCCCCGCAGTACCTAAAGGGTTTAGTCTAGTTATATTAATATCAAATAAAATAAAGACTTTAAGGAACTTATTTTTGGGTGGCCAAATACACAATGAAACAGTCAAAGCTGTGGGGGCTCAAACTACTGGTTTAAAGGTCCTTAGGAGTGAATAAAGGCAGTACAGAAGCCTGGGCTTGTGAGGGACTAAGAAAAATAGGTGAGAACCAAATGATCTCTGTAGCCCTCAGAGTGTCTCCTACTAATAATGCTTCTCTCTGAGGGACAAAGGGGGAAGAATTGAACTAAAGGGTTGTTTTGTGAAGTGTTTATCTCTTATTTTCAGGTGCCTAGGGATCTCCACCCTGGGCTCATCCAGTCATCTTCCTGAGATCATTAGGGCTACTAAGAATGGGCTGTCTGGCCTTCTGTCATTCACATTGTCCAATGGACTGGAATAGCCAATATCCCAGGGAAAATTAGCTCAGATGTCCAATCAAGTATTTGAGGAATAAAACTATTAAAATAAAACAATGGGTTATAGATTTAAATAGAAGAATATAACAATGAACCAAGAACTTAAAAAATGTAAAAGTAACAGGCAGTATGATATATTCATTGCCAACATGAAATAAGAACAAGGAAATAGTAAAGACACTAAGCAAAAATTAGGGGTGAAAATTACAAATTATATCTAAAATTATGAACATAACAGATGACTTAAATATCAGAAATGGTAAATTTGAAAAAAAATATTAGTTTGAGGAAATTTCCCAAAGAAAGAAGGCAAATGCAAATATATATATATAAAGTTTCCAGAACAGAATGTGCAAAGAACATACGTATGTGTGTGTACATACGTACGTACATACACACACACACATATGCTCTGGTGGCACAGTGTCAAAGGCATCTGACTGCTAACCAGAAGGTTGGTGGTTGAAACCCACCAGCCACTCCACAGAAGGAAGATGGGGCAATTTACTTCCATAAAGATTCACCACCTCAGAAACCCAATGGGGGTCGCTATGAGTCAGAATCAACTCAATGGCAGTGGGTTTGGTTTTGGGCTATGTGTGTATGTGTGAGAGAGAGACAGAGAGAAAGAGAGAGATCAAATCCCTTGATATATGTGTTGTTATCTTAACAACAGAAGAGGCCAAGGCCACAGGGAGGAAAAAAAATCAGTAATATCCCAGTATGGGTAGCAATAACATAATGGGTATAGGGAAGAGCAAGTTCTTTTCTTGCTGAGGAAATCTGGATATTTTAATTAAAAGAAAAAAAAAGCTTAAAATGAAACAGTATGTGAAATTGAAATAATAAATTATGATGACAGAGATCCAAGTAAAATAATTTTAGTAAATGTAAATTCAATAAAATCTAGGTGTATGCAATTTCAAGAGACATAAGGACTTGCAAATGTTATAAAAGGATGAAAAAAGTGGTTATTAACCAAAGAGAGCTGTAGTTATATTCAAAATTAAAAAAAAAAAAAACCCAACCTTGCTGCCTTTGAGTTGGTTCTGACACGTGGCGACCCCTCCTTGGGTTTCTGAGGCGGTATCTCTATGGAAGTAGATTGCCCAGTCTTCCTTCCAAGGAGTGGTTATATTAATAGCAGATAAAACAGACTTTAAGGAATCTTTTTTTGGGGTCTCCAGACACACATTAAAACAGTGAAGACTGGTGGGGAATGAGAGAATGTGGTAGGGACAGTGGGGTAGGAGAAGCAGCCTAGGTTTTAATGGCTCTCAAGGTCCTGCTTCTTCCTAGTTCCTTGTGAGGCCACCTTAGTTGCTGTCCTTCAGTACCCTAGAATATCCAGATATTTTTCCAATTGTTTCCCTTTTTTGCTTAAGCTAGGTTGAAATAGACTTCTGTTACAGGTAGTCTCCAGCTTACAACGGAGTTCCATTCCAATGACTTGTAAATCGGTTCTGATGTAAGTCAAATACCTTTTTTTTTAAAAAAAGTTTTCATTATTGCCTTTTATTAGTAGTATCTTTATATATAACATTGAACATCAGCTGAGAATGATAACAGCAGCAAATTACATGTTGCAACATTCTATGTCATACATATTACTAATGATAAGATACACAAATAAAAAACAGTAAGTGCAGTTCTAAGTTGGAGACTATCTGTACTGGCCACCAAAAGAATTTTTACTACAATGGTGCCCTCTATGGGTGCTCAGTATTATTTAACTGAAGAGGTGGCCTGAAGAACACAGGCAGTAGACTTACCATCATCAGGTTTCTTCACAAATTTGACTCCTAGTTCTTCAAATCTCTTACAAGCACTGTATACATCAGGAACAGCAATTCCAATGTGACCTTAGGTGACCACAACAAAAAAGGCAGGGAGAAAAGGAAGAAATTATTATAACACAGTATACTAAGGGCTGTGTATGGCTTCTAAAACTCATTTACTTAAAAAAATAAGGTGCCTGAAAACAGACTGCATCAGTCAGTTTCAAAGTCTATAATATATTAAAGAACAAGAATCTAATTGGGAGGGTAGAATGAATTGTTTAGTTGCTCTGAATAACAAATTATTTAAAATAAACCAATATTGGCTCATATATAGTTCAACCTGTTAAGAATACCCACAGCAAAAAGAAAAATCATTTACAAATATTTAACAGATTTGCTTTTGGCATTGACTATGTGGCAACCAACTGAAGACTGTAATCCTACAACATCTATTGAAAGATTTCAAGTCAAGTGTATAGTAACAGAAATCAGGATTATCATTCACCAAGTCTTTTTATTTATTTATTTATTTCATTAAAATGTCTTCTGGAAATACAGTAAGATTATTTGTGGAACGTAAATAAATTGATTTTACTTAATAATTAGCCCATGAATGTTTTAGGTTTATTGCAATCACAGATAAAAGTGGACATGCAGAATCACACAAATCCACAGAAATTTTATATAAACAGGCAAACATACCAAATCCTCGAGGGTCTGAATTGCCACTATGGTAACTCTGAGTTGCATCATCTTCAGTGCCCCAATTGCTACAAAAAGAGTGAAAATATAACTACACGTGTCCAGTAGAAAAAGATATTCTGAGAAGAAAGTTGCATCACTCTGTCTTTGAAATATTCCCTCAGTGTTTTATATATCTGGCCTAATCCCTGCTAATGCAAATATGAAGTTCTCAACTATACAAAGGGCAAATGGACAAGGTATGATTTTAACTAGAATGAGGAGGCAGTAAAGCCAGGTATCTTAATAATAATAATTGCAATGATAATGTATTGTGCTAAGTATTTTATATTTCATCAACCCTCTAAACAGCTGAATGGGCTAGATTTGAGTATCTCCATTTTGCAGATGAGACTGCTGCTCAAAAAAACCAAAAACCAAACTCACTGCTGTCGGGTCAGATCTGACTCATAGTGACCCCTCCTTGGGTTTCCAAGGCAGTATCACCATGGAAGTAGATTGCCCCATCTTCCTTCCAAGGAGTGGCTGGTGGGTTTGAAATGCCAGCCTTCTGGTTAGCTGTCTAATACCTTAGACACTATGCCACCAGAGCTCCTGACTGCTGCTGAAGGGAGGTGACATAACTTGTTGAGGGTCACAGAATTATGTCTAGGCCAAGACTCATGTCTACATCTGTCTGATTCCAAAGCTCCATTTTGAATCAAAGGACACACTAAGTTACACACCTTGAAACAAATGCTCTTTGATAGTTGTTAAAGAGTACATAGCAATGACATAAAGAAATAAAGGGAAAACCTATTTCTACATTCTTAAAGGTTGAAAACAGAAAAATACCTTAAAATTTTTAATGTAATTATTACAAAATGGTTTGAAGGCTTTTAAAAGAAATACATCATATAACTTTTCTGCATCAAAAAAGTAGCAAAAAAATGAAGGAACAAATATTTGAATGCTGGAAGTACCTAAACATTCATTAGCTACAGTTGGGCAAATATCTTACCATTTCACACTTTACTTTAAAAGACAGATTAACTCACTTGCCCTATCTGTGCCACAGGGACAATAAACAAAAGCCAAAACCCAAACCAAACCTGTTGCTGTCAAGTTCCTTCTGATTCATGGCGACCCTATGTGTTACAGAGCAGAACTGCTCCATAGGGACCTTCCAAGGACAATACAAAGACTAAAAGTGTAAAAATACTTGATCATATTCTTATAAATGTGGATATGATGTAGCTTTGCTTTGAATTAAATTGGTAAGTAAAGGGAGGGAGAGTTAAAAAAAACAAAACCCAGCTTACAAAATGTAGAATATATAAAAACTAATACTCACTGTGTCAGCTCCAGTGTAGCTTTTCGGGAGAATACCCATGCTAGTTTTTCACCTCTGTCTTTGGGGATGTCATTTTTATCTTCATATGCCAAGAAATACAGTGAAAATTTCATAGTGGGGAAATCTAACTTTTGGAGCAGCCTGAAATCAAAAGGCAACAGGCCCTAATCATTAATAATAGGAAAGGTTGATCCATACTAAAATCAACAAACCTAATATTCTCATTCTACTAAGTATAAGATATATATGTAATAAGGCTGTTTTAGTAGAAAATCCTGGAGAAAAGTCAGTGAAAAAAATCTCATTTAAAAACAAAATAACAACCTTATTCATCTGTAATCAGTAAACTACAAAACTCCAAGTGGTTGACAGTAGCAGCCGGGCACCATCTAGTTCTGGTCTCACAGTCATATAGGCTGAGAATCACGTGGTGTACTAGTCACTTGGACTAATTGTTTCCACGAGTCTTTGGTTTTTCTTCATTCTTCTTTGCTCTGAATGAGGAGAGACCTATCATTGCATCTAGATGGCCACTTGCAAGCTTTTAAGATCCCAGTCAAAAAAGCAAAGTTATAATTCACAAATCTTCAAATATAATGGAATTATGATAATTGTTTATCAACAGAAAAAGTCATCTTCAAAAGAGAATCTTGCATTTTCAAGTGAAAAATACAATATATTACCTTATTGTTCTTTCAGATATGTGCCATTCAATTAAATAAAGTTCTTACTATGTTGAAACTTCTAGGAATATTCACACAATGAGTTTGATATGAGAGAATTCATCAAACTGTGCAATTATGATTCATTCACATTTCTGTACATACAGTAGAGTTAAAATGTTTTAAAAAGATAGTTACCCCATGGCTGTCAAGTTAAATTCAACTCATAGTGACCCTATAGGACAGAATAGAATTGCCCTACAAGGTTTCTAAGGCTGTAATCTTTACAGAAGCAGACTGCCACATCTTTCTTCCTCAAAGTAGCTGGTAGGCTCAAATCACTGATCTTTTGGTTACTAGCTAAGTGCTTAACCACTGTGCCACCAAAGCTCCTTTAAGAACATACAAGGAGCAAAACACACACACACACACACACACACACAAGCCTCTAGGGAAAGGAAATTGAGGATAGGTGGTAAGAAAAAAGGTAGGAGGAGAGATCAATATCACAGAACACATTAGTATCATTCAACATTTAATGAATGTCAACAATAAGTTATTGAATAGTAGGAAATACTGTAAAAAGGTCAAATAAAATTAAGACTGAGAAAAAGTCACTAGATAAGGAAAACTCCCATCAGAGAGTTTCAGCAGCATGAGGGGGCAGAAGCTGAACTGGAATGGGTTGGAGAAAAAAATGGGAGGTGAAAGAGCAGAAAGTATGGTCAACTTATGTTGATGGCTGGTGACAATGGACAGAAAGGCAGAGAGCAGAGAGGTCAGAATCACTTTAGAATAGAGAAGACTTAAGTTTTTTTGCAGGCTAAGGAGAAAGCCAGCCTATAAAGTGAGTTTAAACTGTAGAATTATTTTGTAAGGAACAGGGTAGAATGAGGATGCACATAATACAATTTTCTTTAGATTACTGAAAATTAAATGCTCAAAGATGACTTGGTTTATAATCAACAAGAGGAAATGGTTGAAACATAGCAAATGGAAAGTTTCTATAGTTCTGCTCCAAATCTTTTATTTAATTATCACTTCTATTTAATACCCTTTGCCCAATGAGATCTGTGCACTGAGTTATCACAAATAAGATTTACTCTAATCTAACAAATTTAAAAATATCAAACATGTCAACTACTCCAATCATAAAAAACTATCTCTGTACCCACTAAAGTAGACTGTATAACCCTTATAGACCATTCAAATAGGTATTGGAGCAAGTGAACCTGTTGCAACCTGCTTTTCTGAACTGAGCATTATCTTCCAACATAATGTCAAGTTGCATCCTCTTTGGGGTCTCTTTAAAAACAGGGTAAACATTGGTATCAGTCAGGCCTGGATTTGAATTCCAGCTCTGCCATTTGCTAACTGTGGGACGTGGTGCCAGTAACATAATCCCTTTAAGCTTTAGTTCCTTCCTTCATCTGAAAAATGGGAATATACACTAACTCATAAGCCTCTTGTAAAGAATGAATGAAGTAACTTATAAAGTGCCTGGCAAATAACAGCAAGTGTGTTTTGATAAGTTTTTCATCCTACACCATCAGTATATGCAGTATATTCTGAAGAGAATGACAAGAAACTGGTAACAGCAGTTATTTCTGGGGAGGAGGTCTAGGGGAAGGAGACAAACACTTTGCATTTTGTATTTCTCTGAATTGATCACGTTTTCTAAACATAGACCGAGACCGCACTACTTGAACTTTTCTCCCAGTGTCAGTGGGGGTTATGCAGGCAGTAAATTAAAGATCATGTAATTTTATTCTTTACGGGTCTGTGCTACCAAAACCAGAAAGTCTTACGGTTACTTAGGAAAATAAACAAACAGACAAATAAATATGTCTTAAGGATTATAAGATTTCCTGTTATAGAGAACCAACCTATAAAAATGGAACAGCTAGATCTTTGACAAAGGCCCAAAATCTTTGACAAAGGTTATAGATCTTTGACAAAGGCCCCAAATCCATTAAGTGGGGAAGAGAATGTTTGTTTAATAAATGGTGCTGGCAAAACTGGAGATCCATTTGCAGAAAAATGAAACAAGATCTGTACCTCACACCACACACAAAAACAAACTCCAGATGGATCAAAGACTTAAATGTGAAACCTAGAACTATACAGTTTCTCAAGGAAAATTTAGGCTCAAACTTAAGGGCCCTAATATTTGGTATAAATAGACTACCAAGCATAATTCAAAATGCACCAACAGCAGAAGAGAAGCCAGATGATTGGGACCTTCTAAAAATTAAATGTTTATGTGCTTCCAAAGACTTCTCCAAAAGAGTCAAAAGAGAACCTACAGATTGGGAAAAAATATTTGGTAATAACATATCTGACAAGGGACTTATCTCTAGAATTTATAGAACACTCCAACACCTCAATAACAAAAAGACAAACAATCCAATTAAAAAATGGGCAGAAGACATGAATAGACACTTCACCAAGGAGGATATTCGAGCGGCCAACAAACATATGAAGAAATGCTCACGATCATTAGCTATTAGAGAGATGCAAATCAAAACAACAATGAGATACCATCTTGCTCCAGCACTAGTAGCAAAGTTCAACAAGACAGAAAATAACAAATGCTGGCGAGGTTGTGGAGAGATTGGGACTCTCATACACTGCTGGTGGGACTGTAAAATGGTACAACCATGTGGAAAGCAGTATGGCGATTCCTTCAAAAGTTGGAAATACAAATACCATTTGACCCAGCCATCCCATTACTAGGTATATACCCTAAAGAAGTGAGAGCCATAACAAGAACAGATATATGCACGCCGATGTTCATCGCAGCACTATTTACAATAGCCAAAACTTGGAAACAACCTAGATGTCCAACAACTGAGGAATGGATAACCAAACTTTGGTACATTCACACAATGGAATACTATGCAACGCTAAAGAATAATGTAGAATCTGCAAAACACCGCATAACGTGGATGAACTTGGAGGACATTATGCTGAGCGAAATAAGTCAGTCACAAAAGGACAAATATTGTATTAGTCCGTTATTGTGAAAGTTAAGGAAAGGTTTATATATTGGAGGACATTTTCTTTGTTGGTTACCAGGGGTGGGAGGGAAGGGGAGGGAATGCTGTTAGATAGATAGAGATAAATATTGATTTGGGTGAAGAGAAGGGCAATGTACCAAATGTGAGTGACCAATATGGCAGCATTGAGGATGAGAAAGACAGAGAGAGTTACATGGGCAGTACAAACAACAAATATGAACCCCTTTGCAAATACAATACTGAGTTGTCAATGAAAGCAAACATGGGTATAGGGACGGATAGATGGGTGAACAAGCTAAACAATTATGTATGTCTAAATGGAGAGTGTATCCAAGATCATATACAGGGTTGGCAGAAAATGGGCCTCTCGAAGAGTATGAAGGGATGGACACTGGGAGGAGGTAACTATGGGGAGGAAGTGGGAGGGGAGCTGCTGCATTGTAAATTTTGGTCAATGACATGAGACAAAGTATATGTGAACTGCTGTATGAAAGGTGAATTTGCTCTGTAAATCTTCACCCAAATCCTAATAAAATAAAAAAAAATTTTAAAAAAAAATGGAACAGCTAGCCAGTTTTAAGTGAACCCATTCATTTTCTGAGTAATACATTCTTCTATTTACATCTTTCCTGAAGTAAAGAAGAGGCCAAATGTGTCAGAACATCTAAAAGGGTCTGAACACATTCAGGATTTGGCTGACAGCTCCTGGAGAGAAGGAAGTTGAAGAAAATGCAAGTATTTGTGTCTTTTGTTGCCCAGGGAGCCTGGCTGGAATACAGAAAGAAAGAAACTTGACAGAAGCCCGGGCCAATCAGGCACAGAACCTGTTACTCCTGAAACAGAAATGAATTCACTTTTTAAATGGGTCTGAAAACATTGCCTATACTTACAAAGCTGTAACAGAACATAACATTATAGGTACCAATAAATGTTTTACTTACGTCATTCCAAGAATTCTGGTATAAAAATCTAAGGACTTCTTAGGATCTTTAATTCGTAGCATGGTCTGCTGCATTAGAAAATCCTAAGGAGAAACAGTATATATTAAACACCTTTAACTTTTACTATTTATTACAAATATTAATTGTGCTTTCCATACAAGAAACAGTCTACCAATCTATCACAATGTTTTTTTTAAAAAAGAAACAATTTTGTCCCCTTGCCTATCATTGAATCACCTACAAACAATTCTCAGACTCACCACCTACAACTTCCTACGGTTCTCTGTCCAGGGATGTTTTCTAGCCACAGGAACAGGCCCCTGTGTGGGACAGGTCCAAAGTGCCAGGGAGTTTATACTTCAGGAGTGACCCTCAACCAAAGAAGGGTTTTAAAAAACCGTAACTTCCTTGCCCCTTAGTGGGACAGTTCTGAGGCATGTTTTACAGTCTCTCAGAGGCTCCCCGGCAGGCCTGAGCCCCAGTTACCCACAGTGGTTATCCACTTTTAATATACTTTTTATTGACCTTCCTTCCCTACTCCATAGAACTTTCTGTGATCATCTCCCAAATAAACTACTTACAACTAAACCCTTTTTTTGATTCTGCTTTCTGGTGACTGAAGCTATGACCCTGATGCTATGAAGAAAGAGTTCAATGATTACATTTGTTGAATGAATGCATAAATGCCCTTCTAGCACCATTCATTGGTAACCATGTAAATTAGCAAGGAGTTACTCAAGAGATCTTAGACTCCTAAATAACTGAGAATGTAAAAAGTTACTATCACTAACACTTGGTCAAACTGTCCAATTTATAAATCAGGAGACAGAAAGCTTAATCTGACTGGAAAAAGGGATATAGAATATATAAATTCATGGAGTTAAGATTATTATTTAGCATTAATAATACTTTACCCAGGGTTTGAATTCATTAGCTACAATAACTGTAAGTATTAATATCCCCATTTTATAGCTGAGAAACTGACACCCAGAGATGATTAAATTAACCATTCAAGCCTTCTGATTCCAACTTCAAGTCTCTTTCTTCCTTCTAGACCATGAGTCTGTAAACCATGTTAGTTGTTCCCCAAAGATTTTTATTCTTTTTGTCCATGGTCTTGACAAAATAGGCTTGAAAACTCTGACCTCTCCTTATGTAGTCACATAGTCAACTCTCCCTATAATTCACATCATATAAAATATAAATATACTTTATTCATTAAGCATCATCAGGAAATGATATTTTTCTATGTTGCTGACTTCTTAAGTAACCCAATGTACTTTTAAAGCATTAAAACTCATCTATAACAAAACCAGCCTAAAACTATCTTATGCAATGGATGCGATTGAATATACTGATTTCTTTATTCACAGCAATATAATCACACATAAAGCAGTTGGCTCTGAAGTCACTGTTCCAGAATATTTGGATTGCTTTTCTCGGTCCACTGCCATTCTCTGGAATGTCTCAGTTTCAGCAAGCAGGTGAGACAGAGAAAAGCAGCTCCTGACATCCAGATGCTGGCCTGGCACTCAGAGTTTGCAACAAGGTGACACACTGCCACGGAGTTGGACCCGACTCATAGTGACCCCTCCTTGGGTTTCCGAAGCAATATCACTATAGAAGTAGATTGTCCAGTCTTCCTTCTGAGGAGTGGCTGGTGGGTTAGCAGTCAAATGCCTTAGGCACTAAGCCACCAGAGCTCCTGGCACTCTGAGATAATTAGGCCTTGGTTTTCTCCTGTTGAATACAATCAAGAAAACACCAAAAAAGTCACTCTGTGACTGCAATGAAGTGAGACCCCCACCCTCCCACACCCCCAAAAAAGGCAGCAAGACCACTTCCTATTCTTATCTAAGTATCTAAGCAGATGAAAACAAGACACTGTGTTCTAGAGACTTTGGCCTCTTAGACACCTTTTTAAGCCAGGAAACGAACTCTCCACACCCCCATACAACAACAGGCCTATAAAACGAACAATACCAGGGAGGTGAACAATACCAGGGAGGTACGTACTTGAACAAAATGTCTATGAATTGTTGAATGGAAAACCAATTTGTAAACTTTCACTGAAATCACAATTAAAAAAGAAAAAAAAATTTTACAAAAAGATACCATGACAATGACATGAGACAAAGTACATGTGAACTGCTGTATGGAAAGTGAACTTGCTCTGTAAATCTTCACCCAAATCACAATAAAAAATAAATAAATAAATAATAATAATAATAAGATACCATGAATACTACAAAAATAGCAAACATCCCCCTCTCCTGGTTAATATGAGTGACTTGTTGCTTTTCTACGAGTTACAACTGTAAAGAAAGGAGGCTGGCTCTAAAACAAGATCCTGTGTTTGATCTTTCAGGTCTGAAAATTATAGGCAATTACAAATGCCAGTACCTGGCAGGCCTCAAGAGGGAAAGATGCCTCCTCCACTCGGAGACTTGGTATAGAGTCAGTATACTGCAGTCTCTGGAGGAGTTGCAGTCAAGACTCAGCCTCCCTCCACGGATCATGCTCCTTCCTGCAACTCCAAAGATCCACCTGACCCCTGCTCACTGGGCGCCTTGCCGGAGAGAAACACTGGGGGATCTGGCACGCTTTCCTTTTTGTTTACACTATAGCCAAGCCAGAAAACCAAACCCACTGCCATGGAGTCTATTCTGGCTCATAGTGACCCATATAGGGTTTCTAAAGCTGTAAATCTTTACACAAGGCAGAACAGCTGGTGGGTTCAAACCGGTGATCTTTTGGTTAGCAGCTAATGCCTTAACCACAGTGCCATCAGAGTTCCTTTATACTAGAGCAGTAAGTGAGTAAAGGTTTGATTGTTACTTTCTGTTTGGCTAAGGAGCTTTGGTGGTGCAGTGCCTAAGACATTTGACTGCTAACCAGAAGGCTGGTAGTTCAAACACACCAGCCGCTCCACAGCCACAGAAGGATGATGGGGCAATTTACTTCCGTAAAGATTTACTGCCTTGGAAATCCAACAGGGGGTAGCTATGAGTGGGAACCAACTTGTTGGCAGTGGGTTTGGTTTTTTTTTTTTGTTCAGTTTGGCTAACATAGTCTATTCTTTCCTTCTTGATAATATTCATTAAGATACCTAATCATAGAATTATCTTGCATCCAATCCAGAGTAAATCCTGCTTTTTTACCAAACGAAACCAAATCCTTTGCCATTGAGTCAACTCTGACTCGTAGCAACCCTATAGGATAGAGTAGAACTGCTCCATAGGGCTTCCAAGGTTGTAAATCTTTATAGAAGCAGACTGCCTCATCTTTCCCCCGGCTAGTGAGTTTGAACTGCCAACTTTTCAGTTAGCAGCCAAGTGCTTAACCACTGCACCACCAGGGGTCCTTCTGCTTCCTTACCCACCCACTACCACCGAGTTGATTCTGAGATATAGCGATCCTATAGGACAGAGTAGAACTGTTCCATAGGGGTTTCCAAGGCTGTACATCTTTACGGAAGCAGATTGCCTCTACTTTCTCCTCAGAGTAGCTGTGGATTTGAACTGCCAATCCTTTGGTTAGCAGCCCAAACCTTTAACCACTGAGCCAGCAGAGCTCTTTCTGCTTCATTAAGCCCTCCCCAAAACCTACTAATACAGTCCAATTCTGTAATAGATCCTTTCTAACTCCCTCTTACGAAAACATTTGTCCCACAATTCTTCATGGTGTGCATTCTCCCTGGTTTAAATGAGCATAAATTTAACCTCTTCAACCTTAGGTGTATCCCTGGAGGTCTTTGACTAGAGGGCATTGACACTGATTAGTCCCCTATCTCCCATTTGCTGTGCCTGATAAACCAATTTTAAATATGTCCCTGGTTATTCTTTCAAAAAGGAGCCCTGGCGGTGCAGTGTTTAAGTGTTCAGCTGATAACCAAAAATTGAACACATCAGCTGTAGTTCTACTGTCCTACAGGGTTCTATGACTCAATATTGACTAGATGGCAGTGAGTTTGGTTTCCTTTGGGTATTCTATTAAACACTAATTTAGGTACTGACATAAACCAAACCAAACCAAACCCACTGCCATTCAGTTGATTCCAACTCATGGCGATCCCCATTAGGTTTCCAAGGCAGTAAATCTTTACTAAGTAGATTGCCCCATCTTCCTTCCGGAGTGGCTAGTGGGTTTGAAACGCCAACCTTCTGGTTAGCAGTGATATGCCTTAGGGACTGCGCTACCAGAGCAGGTACTGCCATAAGGGTCTTTTAAAGGAGCTCTGGTGGGGTAGTAGGTAAGGCATTTGGCTGCTAACTGGAAGGTGGGTGGTTCAATCCCACCAGCTGCCCCGTGGGAAGATGAGGCATTCTACTTTCAAAAAGATTTACAGCTTTGGAAACCCAATGGGGGTCGCTATGAGTCAGAATCAACTTGATGGCAGTGGATTTATAAGGGTCTTTAAGGAGCTCTGGTGCTGCATGGGTTAAGGCATTTGGCTGCTAACCAAAAGGTTGGCAGTTCAAACCTACCAGCCACTCTGTGGTAGAAAGACGAGGTGGTCTGCTTCCATAAAGATTTACAGCCTTGGAAACCCTATGGGGTAGTTCTAGTCTGTCCTACAGTGTTGCTATGAGTCAGAATCGACTCAATGGCAATGAGCTTATAAGGGATAGAAGGAAGGTTACATTATCTGACCTTAAAATAGGGTACTGGGTGGGCTCAATGTACACCTGAGCCCTTAAAAACAGATGAGGAGGACAGAAGTCAGTCAGAGAGATGCTGTTAAGAAGGCAGGCAGAAGGATTAACTTGAAAGGTTAGACAGAAAGACATAGGGAGCAGAGACTTTATATTAATGGAGGAAAAGCAATTTGGAAAAAGAGAGTAAGAACCCACAACTTAAAGAACATAATGCCACTGAATTATAAATGTAGAAACTATTAAACTGATGTATGTTCTGCTGTGTAAATTTTCAACAACAAAAAAGACGGCAACAAAACAAGACAGGCATATGAGCTGAACATTTACATTAGGGAGATACACTCCTTGGAGAGAACAATCATGGGAGAATAGACCAGCTGTGTATGCACAAGGAGACAGCTCAAGGGGCAGGAGTGCATGGAGGG